GTTTCCTCTGGGCCACAGTTTAAGATTTGTAATTTTTTCTGCTCTGCTTTTGCCCTTGGTGTTCACCAAAAATCTGGTTAAAAGTGGCCAACATTACCCATGCCACAGCATGGGTATTGGGCTCTGTAGAAATTTCCTCCTCCAGATCAATTAGTTCACCATCCTTGCTGCCATTAAGGAGACTTGCAGTCTCTTGCAAAGACTTAGAACATGGGCAAAATGTAGACAAAGTATGCCCGAGTGTAACACACATGTAGTTTAGTACTAATGATAGTAGAGCTCTTATTTACAATGGAAACCTCCTGAGCCTGGATTTTCCCATTTTTTAACATTTTTAATTTTTCAGTTTTTATTTTGTATTAGTGCATATTTGTATTATATAACGATTATATTTTTGTAGGGAGTTGGTACAAGTACATAATAGATCTCTGTTCTTTTTTTCCATTCACCTCCCCCCCCACCTCCTACTTCCTCTACCTCTTTATCTCCATTCCATTTGAGAAAGATCTATCTTCTTACTTCTGATTATCTTTTATTTTATTCCTTGTTTATAGTTTTGATTTGTCATATAAGAAAAACCACATGATGTTTAAACTTGTACATTTGATTTATTTCACTGAACATTATGGTTTTGAGGTCCATCCATTTTCCTTTAAATGATTTAACATTTATACTTCTCCATTATGCATGAGTACTACGTTTTCTCCATACATTCCTGATAATGGGTCCATAAGATGTTTCCAAGATTTACCAGTTGTGCTGGTATAAACATGGGCATGCAGGTATCAGTGTAACATTCACTCCTTTAGGAAGTTACCTAGAAAGGGACTAACTGGGTCAAATGAAATTTCTAGATTTAATTTTTTGAGGAATCTACATATGGATTTCTTTGCACATACCAGTATTCTGCCCTATAACTACAATTACTCATCAAGCTCTCTTTCCAGCAGTCTACAGCTTTAATAGCCTGGTTTGCCAAATCTTTCCAAGCTTCTCCCATAAATCACTTTCAAATGCTTCTTAACCACATATTCAAGTATATCACAGTCACAAACCCACTTGACTGTGCCCCATTTCCTGAATTATTCAGCATTTCCATTGCTGTGACTCAATACGTCACACATACATCTTCAAGGAGGAGAAGTTTAATTTGGCTCACAGTATCAGACAATTCAGTTCATGGTCACTTGACTCCAAGGGAAGAATGACCTAGCAGAAGGGGAGAGCAGGGCAAATCTTCTCATTCTATGGGAGTTGGGAAGCCGAGCAGGGGACAAGTGCCAGAGAGGGAGAAGTGTGGGATCATATGCAGTGGTAGGGAAACTACAGAATGTATGCCAGAGTTGGCTGATTGTTATTATTCAAACCTCTAAAAGTTTCACAATTACTGATATAGTATATCCAAGGCCATGCCTCCATGACCCACCTGGAGAAAACAGCAAGTATGCTAGGCATTTCTTTATGCAATGAAGTTGACCTATCAGAATTAAGAATCACAAAGGGAGACTATTATTAGGCAAAGAGGAAAGAATATACATCGTTGAGTAAGCAGTATGGCAGGGCAATATAGTGTGCATGTGATCAGATATATTGTATGCATGTATGAAAACACCACATTGAAACCCAAGGAATTGTTTAAATAATTAGAACTAACAAAATGTAATATAGATGGGAATGTTTGAGAAATGGAGATATTAATCTATATAATGTAATGACCACAGAAATTACATTCCTCCTGTAAGAATTTATTGTTGTTTTCAACATTGCTATTCTTGTTAGAGTTGTAAACATTATTAATATTGTGTTATTTACTGTTTCTCTGTAACTCTGAATTCCTGGCTGTGTTCAATTGTATCCATGCTTAGCTCAGTGTTATACAGATATTTATTTAAATGCCTGGAAGTTTGCCAAAGGCCCTGCATGTGTTAAGACCCTGCAAGACTATAAATTTGTAAGTCTGCCTTGACCTCACTTTATTTTTGCTGAGACATTCAATATAAGCTGAAGGAGAATGTCTAGAACCCTCTCATTTTCCATCTTGGTGTGCACATAAACCTGAGGGTGATTCAGATTCCCCAGGAGAATGCGAGCACTTATCAACATCCTTGTGTACCTCTGTGATGGTAAATATTGATTGTTAACTTGACTGGATTTAGAGACACACTGGAGCTCTTTACATACCCCTGATAAGGTGGATTTTCCAAAATGAGTAGTAAACTGAGGGTAAAAACCCATGTTGAGTGTGAGTGACATCGCCAGTAGGCTTGCAGCTAGATGGAATGGTAAGAGGGAAAGGAAAGTGGGCAGCAATAGAAAGTTTGATTATTCTTGAGTGAGAAGGTCTTTTGTTGCTGTTGTCACCTGTGAACGTCAAGTTCAAACTTCTTCAGGCTCTTAGTGTAGACTCACACAACTGACTTTCCAGGGAAATATGTAAACTCAAACTCTCTAGAGATCTTCCAGGCTTTCAGCCTTAGAATGATACCATAACAGTGGTTCCTTCTGTGTAGGTGTGACCAAATGAAGCACAATAGTGGTCCCCTTTGTTCTGGGGTTCACAGCATCTTGAACTGAGCAGCTACAGGACCCTATATTTATGTCTGACTTGTACTGTCATATATCATACAATAGCCCTTAGACTTGGCCTGAGGGTTGGTCCCTAAGGGGGTCAGGCCACCTTTTTCACAGCACAGAACTTGAGGAACTGACAGGTGACTAGGAGGGCCTATTGCCTTTGTCAAAAATAGTTGTCGTGGATGTTTGCCCCGTTTCTGCTAAAACCCCTAGGAAAAGTGACTTCAGTGACTACTGCAAAGCAGCAGCTACAGATGAAAATTACTGAGCCTCTGACTGACAGGGTTTTTGAAAGACCCAGGGATACTATAGACTGAGAACTGGACCCAAAAAGAAAAATCAGCAAACATTAAGGATGAGGAAGAAGACAGAGGGTTGCTCTAAAGGCAGGTGTGTGAAATCTACATGAACCTGGGCAGAGTGAGCGGAGATGGAAGAAGGGGGAGACATGTGTAGCTGAAGTGTGGAGTTTCCGAAATACCTGAGCACCTGCAGCTTCTGATGACTCTAGGATGGTCCTTTCATATCTCCCTCACTTCTTATGGCCTGTTGTTTTCTTCTTTCTGTCCTGTACAATTATGAATCTTTTACTACATAGTCAGCACCATCAGATGCAGGACTCAGAGTTCAGGGTCCTGCTTTGTTCTCAGGGACACTGAGTGTTGTGAGCTCTGTGTTTTCCCATAAGAGGAAGCACCTGCTGTAACCTCTAACTCAGGTCTCTGAGCACAAACCAGGTCGTTAACACTGAGGCCTGTGTGTCCATTTCACCCTCCGGCAACCTTAAGAAGGTTCCCAGCACCCCCTAGCGAGCTTTCATAAATATTTGTAGTTTATTCTCTATTGTATTGTGTCTTCTATGATATATGACTTTTAATTTCACTGTTTCATGTTTTATGTGTTATGTTTATTTCCACACCAAAATAATTCAAGAATAACAATAGCTAATGCTCTGTCATGACTAGAAGAGTACGTGCTGAGACTACATGTCTGAAAGGATGGCCAAAGTGGTACTCAGAGTACAAGTCATACACAAAATAGATTCTCTTACAAAAGAGAGAAAAAAAGAACAAAACTTTCCTTATAATGAACAAGGAGAAATTAGTATTACAAATGTAACCAATTAGCATAAACCCTGAAGAGCAAAATACAAGATACATGAGCAGGAAGTTGAAATATTTCCTCAAATTATCTGTTCTGAGTTTTTCAAAAAATTTAAGATACATAGCTCCCGTTTGTGTTTCCAGGGAGTCTGATTTTCAATTTAATTCTTTGTTTTTCTTAAAATTGCAATACATTTGCCTCGACGATGACTCCATTTCCATTTGTTTCCAGAATCCTGATAGTTCCTTATCAGGACTTAGGTTTGTTTCAAAATCGCTACCACACAACCGAGTCATTTCGGATGTGGTCTCTGAGGATGGTCTTTCCTCAGTTAGCCTGTGATTTTCCTAGCGCTTGATAGGGTGATTTTAAAGCTTTTTTCCTAGGTATTTGTACAGTAGAGAATTCATTAAAGGTATGCTGGTGACGTGAAATGGTTCCTGCTATTGGTTCCTTCATTTTTGCTATTTATTTCCATTAGACTTTTCCAGGAGAAATGGGACACACCTCCTTTTGAAAGCATTTAGCTTCACTTTTAGTCAAACATGAGACACTTGGGATGGGCTTTCCATCTGCTGAAAGTCTCCTGAAGTTTTGGGTCTTTCTTATCCTCTATCTTAATATTTACCTTTAAATTTGTGGCACAGTGTTGATTATGACTTCAAGAAAGTAAATGCCTGTCTGATCTGAAGAGATTGTCAGGACTGAGGGGGAACTTGTTTGCTGTTATCCCATCTGGATGCAGAGATCATCTATGTCTACACTGGCTGTAAATCAGCTTCCAAACAAGACATTTGGGTGAGAAGCAAAGGACTGAGTCATGGGTCAATGTGCACTGCTGTGCCAGATCATACCATTTGCATTTGCACTATGCTGATGGCTCACATGCTCCTGAACACTTGGATATTCAGACTCGTTCTTGGTCTGGTTCCATAAGCTACTTCAGGGCTAAAGAAAGGATTATTTCTCCACAGATGGTGAATGGGAATTATTATGTTCTTACCCTTTTCATCAGAAGGATCTTCATGAGATCTGCAGACTCCATGCTCTCAAGGGTTTCTTCCTACTGGGATGCCCTATGGACTCCGACCAGGATAGCAAGAAAAGCCTGACTTAGTTTTTAAAATTAAAATTAAAATTCCAGCATTTCATCATTTTATATGGTTTTAAAGTCACTAGCACAAAGCACAATTTATAGGCCATCACAAATTACTTGTTTTTCCTGCGATTCTAGCAATATTGTTTGGTATTTGTGGTGATAAATGCAGTTGTAAAATCAGTGTAGATATAAGTAGTTTTTACATTTCAAAAGGCATCATAGTCTAATTCCCAGGGCAGGCTGGGGTTTTTGTGCCACTTCTCCATCTGTGAGTGTCACTGTGAGAAGCACTGCTGTGCCAGATCATACAGTAATAGGTGGCTTCATCCTCAGGCTTCAGCCCAGAAATATGCAAAACACCTGCATTGGCTGAGGTGTCTTTGGAACCAGAGAAGCGGTCAGGGATGCCAGAACCCAGCTCCTTATCTGAGTCTGAGTAGTAGTACAGTAGAAACCTTGGAGGGCTCCCCGGCTTCTGCTGGTACCAGTATAAGTTTTTCCCACCAACACTGATGTCGCTTCTCAAGGTGCAAGTAAGTCTGGCAGATGCTCCAGGAGATGCAGAGAGGGAGGGTTCCTGAGTCACCACAGCCTGAGAGAGGGAAACTGCGAATACAGACCATGGTGGATTAGGGAGCAATGACTGAGCAGAAGTTTTTCAAGAATCATAGCAGAAGACACCTAATGAGGTTATGAAATTGTACCCTGTCTGTGAGGCCTGTTCTTACCTGAGCAGTGAGAGAGGAACAGGAGGAGAAGAGGAGTCCAGGCCATGGTGGAAGCAGCCCCCTGACCCCAACAGTGGCTTGAGTTGGCCCAGACCTCCTTTTCTTGCCCAGCCCCTGTGGGAGGAGCTGTTCATGCAAAGGTGTTTCCATCTTGTCTGGCCCTGCCCCTCCCTGAGGCCTAGTGCTAGAGCTCAGCTCACACTGCAAAATGAGCAGGAGGAAAATTTGATTTTTCTCGTTGTACAAGTCCTAGGAGGAGTCATCTCTTTTGAAAGAAGACAGGCTGTGGATATAGCTCAGGTGTACAACTGCCTGCCTGTCAAGTGCAAGGTCTTGAGTTTGGTTCCTGATACCAAGAAAAAAAAAGAAGACAAAACCATTTCTCAAAGTGCTCTACAGGCTATAGATGACACAGCAGCTCAGACTGCAAATCAACACTAGACACAATGCTCGGCCAGGATCCTTTATGTGACCAGTTGTTTCCCTATAGCTGGGGAGGACTACAAGGCAACCCTTCAGTGGTCCCTGCAGGTCACAAGACACACAACTGCCCGTGGCTCAGAGGACAGAGAGCAAATCATTCTGTCCCACTCATATAAGGATAATCTGACTTCAATTTTCTGTGGTTTGATAGACTCTATAATTGTCATAGGTTCTCACTTTTAGAAGGGGTCTTGTTTACACATGTTTAGCATACCTGAAAATGATGCTATAAAAATCATATTCTTTCATTTATAACAAATTCTCCTATGAAAATATTTACATGTGCTGTCTATGTTATATTATGCAATGAGTTCAAATTTCTCTTGCATAAATTCATTTGTGTTTGGTCTTCCACAGTTTAGCTTATTCATTTGCTTTAGTATTTGATAATGTAAAGGGTGAGTCATAGAATGAAAAATTTGTAACTGCTGTCTCACATAAACATCAAGTCCATAATATTAGGTACATTCTCTGACAAACATTACCCATGCCACCCTTTTATCCAATGTAGCTGTGTCTCATCTGTGGACAGTTAGCTCACCAACTTTCATTTATTTTGCACAAAATTTCTTCCTACAGTCTTTTGTGGGATACTGGTTTGAGGAGATCAACATCAGATTCCAGATTACTATATAGATTTTGAGCATTCATTTACCATTCTGTTGATTAATATCTTACCAACTCTTAGTTAATTTGAATATCTCCAGATGTTCATGTAACCCAGCCTGTTCTACCATGCATTCACTCATGGAGCCTTTCTTCTGTGTTCAGCATTTGCTCCTCAGCCACCACCTTCTGAAGGTTTTTTCCATAGTTCCTGGAAACCCAACACATCTTTCTCCACCTTCTGCATATGAACTCATGAGACCTAGTCCATCCTACTGGTCACCATCCCCAGAGTGCAAGTCCATTTGCCTCTCTGTTTCTAGAATGGAGGTCCAGTGTCTTGCTTAACATTTCCTCTTGAATCAACTCAGGATCCTATGTTCAAAATACAGCAGCAGTACTTTTCTTAGCTGCAGAACTCTGCCTCTCCTAGAATTCATTTTCTAATGACTCATGTATTTATGCTACAAGTGTATGTTCAGCTTGTCCTTCCTTTAGGTTCTGCTGTGAAGTCTGAATGTACAGCAGTATATAACCGAAAAATGAGAACAAAAACAAAAAAACATAGCAAACAAATAAAAGAATCCTGCCTTCTCAAGATGTTTAGTTCCTAGTGGAAGAAAATCACAGTAAATAATCACAGAACCATGATGTCTTGAAGGTGATACAATCCTGATCATGTTCACCCCCTGCACCTGGAGCCCACTGCCCTCTGCTGAGGCCTCTATGGAAGTTAGGGATATTGACACTGATCTGGTCCTTGCTCTGTCCATAGCCCACATTTTTGTTCTTTACCCTGTCCTCTGACAAGGGTCTGACTGCAGATACTGGTCCCTGAGTACTAGGGCCAGGTAGACTGCCCCACTGTGTGTTTACTTCAATTTTGTCACATATTAAGACTCATGTTTCTGTGGAGCGCAGTGAACACCCCTTGGACTTAATCAGGTGAAAAGACAGTGAGACGGTGCTTTTCTCCTGTGTGGGAAAATATTCTCCTTTTATTTTCCACACCTTGGGACCTCAGCACATGGAAGTGATAGAGGATGGGTGGATTCTAGATGCATCCTGTGTGAACATGGATGATATGGGTCAGGATCATGGTCCTTTCTCTCCAGGGAGATACTCAGTTTCTCGACTTGAGTGGACAGCAGATCAATGCTTATGGAGAACAAAGATAACAGAGGAGTTGATGCTAGTGATTGTGCTTTGAGTGCACTGTGAATGCCTTTCCAACAAGGAAATTCAATCCCCATCCATGAGTTGTGACAACCACACATGATCAAACAGACTCTCATTTGTTAAAAGAGTTTAAGGAAACATGTTACAGCATTCATACGTTTTCTATAGATGCAGGCCAGTTCCAAACATTTTAAATTAAGTTTATTTATACTACATAGATATATATGATCACATTCCTCACAGGAAACTCGTACCTGTACATGATACCTTGATTCATCTTTTTTTGCCCACATCCTTCCCTCCCTGAAACCCTTCTTCTCCTTGTCTACAAATTCTGTTTCTGTTTTACTCTACTTTTCGCATTTCTTCTCTTTTCCTTTCCTTTCCACGTGGTATGACAAACTGAAAGTGTAAATAAGACCCTCAAATGTACAGTAGATATTGAATGTAGGAAGAAATTGTTCAAAAGGGAAGGGAAACTAGAGAGAGAGGAATGGGACAAGATGGTCAAATTGTTTTATTACAACTTAGTAAATTTTAGTCCTCTGTGGCTTTTACCTATGACCACAATGCGTTAGTTGGGCATATTATATGGTTCAACACTTTTCCAATATTTCCAAGTGCCTCCAGTGAAGCAGTTTCAAAGACTTCTTATCCACACATTCTAGTACACTCACTTCTCTGCTCCACATTTTTTGAATTAGTCAGCATTTCCATTGCTGTGACTCAGGATATGACACCCACATCTTCAAGGGGGAGAAGTTCAATTTGCCCCATAGTTTTGGGCAACTCAGTTTATGGTCAGTTGGCTCCAAGGGAGGAATGACATGGCAGAAGGGGTAGCAGAGCAAAGCTACTCAGTCCATGGAATTTGGGGATATACTTTTCAGAGATTGGCTTTTATTCAACTTGTTAGAAGAATAAATTTGCTCATCCAGGGGACTCAATGATTGCCTTTTTGAAAATTTCTAACATGTTATTTCAGCAGATATGTCATCTGAATGAAGGTGTGTATAATTACTAATTTTGGATTTTCCTTATAATTAAAAGTGATTTTTAAACTGGGAACTTTCTGATCTTGGATCTCCGAGCCCCCATAACTGTAAGACACAGTCATCTGTTGTTCATAACCGAATCAGTTCAGGGTATTCTCTTGTGACAGCTTGAAAATGATTGAGCACATAGGGAGGGGCAGATAGAAATGCAGACTAGCTACTGTCAGGCAAACCGAGAGCAACTTGGAGTCTCCAAGAAACTTTGCTGTTTAACTCACTAATATTTGTACTCAATACAGAGGTCCATACCGTATTAGGGGATGGACAGAGGAACAATGAAGTTGCTTCAGTCACTGGTACAGAGCAAAGACTGACAAGGGGAGGCCAGACTGGGCAGAATGTCACTAGAGTCATTTCCTGAAACCCCAGGAACAGGGACATTGCTTCCCATCACCTCTCAAATCCTCCCTCAGTTTTCCTTCTAAATGGTCTTCCTTTGAGTAAGAATCTGATCTCTGAGGGTCCTAAGACTCCTTTCTGGACATCCCCTTGGAGAGCAGAAGAGAGGGGACTTCTGCAATCTCTGCCTCAGTGGTGGAGAGAACCTGAAGGCAGAGGTCTCTGCACTCACTGCCTGATTGAAGTCACAGTCACATCTCACTGTGCAGCAGATTTTCTGCAGTCACCATTCCCACAGCCACAGAGGCCTGATTCCTCTAAGCCTGAGGAGGAAACAATGGTTCTTAGACACACTGTAAAAATAGCAGGAGCGAGGGAAGGTGACTTGCACTTCATGCATGTCAGGGATGCTGGGCTTGGGACACACTGAACACAGTGACTGACCAGAGGCTTTCAGACTCACAGGTCTCTGACTCAGCCTCGTAGATATAAATGTGGTCAAATAACTTCTTTCTCATCGTTCTTCTCACTGGAGAGACACTAAGTCCTGTGAATTGATATGTGTTATTTTAGACATAATCAGTTTGCAATATATTAGCAAAAAATCAAAATAACTCTTAAAATAAAGGAAAAAAGAAGACATTTTGTTATCTGTTGGTCCAGCAAAATGGATGTTAATAGAAGAAAAGAAATTAACAGTCACCACCAAGCTAGACATGGTGCTAGGCAGTGCATCAGTAACAATTTTTTCCAAAGATGCAACAGAGGTTTCAGTATTACTTCCTTTTGCCTACACATTGCTGTGTAAGGATTAGAGCTACTGTGCCAGGTATTGCAGTAATAATCAGCCTCATCCTCAGGCTGTGTCCCAGAGATGTGCAGGACACCTGCATTGGTTGAAGTATCTTTGGATCCTGAGAAGAGGCTGGGGACTCCAGATCCCAAGTCTGTACTTCAAGCATAGTACAGAAGAAACCAGGGAGGGCTCCCTGACTTCTCCTGATACCAGCGTATTGTGAAGGCACCAACACTATAGCCACTGCTCAGACTACAGGTGAGTCTGGCTGATGCTCCAATAGATGCAGAGAGAGAGGGAGGCTGAGTCAGCACAGGCTGGGGAAGGAGCCTAGAAATGGTGACATGCTTGTACGAGCAAGAAAGGATAAAATTGATCTGCTTTTCTCCAACCACTGGACACTGACATAGGGTGGAGGGATGTATGGATCAGTGAGGTCTGTAATTACCTGAGAAATGAGAGAGGAGTAAAAAGGGGACGTTGGCCCAGGCCATGGTCGACACAACCCTCCTGATGTTCAGAGCTGGAGTAAGCTACTTCAAGCCTCTTTTATCCCTTCCACCAGCCTCATGGAGGAGGAGACATTAATGCAAGTGTGGTCCTGCCCCTTACCTTCCCCTACACTTCCACACATATTCACAAAGCTTCAGAGGCTGAGGGATGAGGGAGTTGGGGAGCAGTAGGTGGTGGGGGGAGTGCAAGCACAGCCTGGAGAGACTCAGCTGCTACACTGAGTACAGCTGCACTGCTCTAGCCCTGGGGAATTTGGGGAATGGACAGCTGCAAGCCCTCATTGTGCAGATCCTGAGACAGCCCCACAGCACCTCCTGTTGCTCACTGTGCGAACTTCAATCTCAAAGTGGAAATAGTATTAAAAGTGGCCTCTGTCAGAATGCCTAGTCAATGGCAGACTCTAGATCCCCAGCACATGCCACAGAACTGTCACAAGGCAACCCATGTGCATTAATAGCCTTTGTTATGGAGGATTTCTGGATCAATCTTGTAAGTAGATGATAGACACAGAAAACATGACAAGTGTCTAACTGGGAAGGTGGAATGAGGTGACAATGCAGAAGTTTCCAGGAGCCAAAACCTGAGAAGCTCCTTCAATAGACGACAAGGAAGGAGGAACTGTGATCTGATTTGGGTGGACACTAGTACCCTGCTGTAGGACAAAGAAAGAATGTGACTTTCCTAGAAGATACAGGTTATCAGAAAATGGTACATGTCAGAAAATGGCACATGTCTAAATATTCCAAGAGATTAAATACTGTGAAGTGGGGGGAATGGCAAGCTTTCTCATATTCTTTAATCTCATATCTCTTGGCTGATTATGTTGCCAAGACATATCGAGTGTCTATGTGGCCCTCTTCAGTGTTACAGAAAATATTTCTCCTGAGATCTCAGCACTTCAGAAGGGTGAATCAGTACAGCCTGAGCATAGGACCCTGCAATATAAATATAATATCTATTGTCTGGAATACAAGGAAATACATCATTCCATTACAGAAACATATAAAAAACATAGTACAAACTAGCAGTGAACCAGATATAGAGTTGTTACAGGTAAAAGCATGAAAGCCACTGTGCATGAGGCAGGACAAATAAAACGACGTAAGTGAAAGGGAGAAGAGAGGTGATGTTACAGTAGGATTGTCCACTGTTTGCATAAGTCTCCCACAACTATTATGTCCACCACAACCTTGACACTTTCCTTGTTTTTCAGCCAACAATATTTATCACCAGTAATAGAAAGAATGGTAATTCCCACAGTCAAGTATAAGGATGAAAAATTCCTTTGCATATTCACAGATATAGAATAAACCCATTGGAAGATAAAATAGTTTAAACATCTAAAGTCAGAGGTGCAGGCATGGACTTTCTGAACAGAACTGCAGTTGAATAATAATTAACAGCTCAAATCAATAAATGGGGTAATATCAAATTGAAGCACTTTTATGCACCAAGGGAATCAATTGGTAGCAGGAGGATCCATCCGACAGAATGGGAAAAACTTCTACCAGGTATTCCTCAGGCTGAGTACTAATATCTAGAATATATTGAGTACTCAAAAACATCAGACCACCCGAAGTGAAAAGACCCAGTCAAGATATGGGCAAATGATAACTCGAGGCCTTTATATTTAAATGGTCACAACTAGAGACCATACTCATAAGTGAAATAAATCAAACATACATGTGCAAGCACCGCATTGTGTCACTAGTGTAAAACTTGAAAGAGTTAATTTAAACTCGGAGGTATGATAGACACTGTGAAATGATAGGAAACCACTGAAGAGTAAAGGGCTTCTGGGATGTGGCAAAAGAGAAGGGAAAGAAGGAGAAATTTTGTATGTATGTATATACAGGATAGATAACATGGTTGTTCTTCTATCTGCTGTTTCTATGCTGAAAGAAACTGTCAATGAGTCTTTGGTTGACCAGTATTGCATGTCTATATCTGTTTTCATGAGAAGCCACTTTGAAGATATCAATATGTAATACAACCACCATTGTTAATTCCCTACCACTTTGTTTGTAACTCTGTATTGTCTGTACTGTGCTTGTGATATGTTGTAAAATGTTGTATGTCTGTTAATGTTTCCCTCCTTTTATCTTTAAAATAAAATAAAAAAAGATATGGGCAAATGAAATGAATAGACACTTCTCAAAAGAATAACTACAAGTGGCTGACAAATATTTCTCATCGCTGGCCATTAGGGAAATGCAAATTGAAACAATGGTAAGATTTCATCTTTCACCAAAAAGAATGGAAACTATCAAGACAGCAGTGAATAACAAATGCTGCTGTGGCACTGGCCAAAGGGAGCCCCACTACTTTGTTGGTGGAATATAAGCTGGTACAACCACTGTGTAAACCAGTATGGAGATTTCTCAAAGAACTAAAATTAGAAATTCCTTTCAGTAAACCACAGACATCAGCAATACACCTGTCTCAGCTATCCTTGTATATATATATATATATATATAAATTATGTTTTCCATTTTAAAGAGAAAAGAAAAAAACAACAAAAACAAATACATAAACAGAACAGCATAGAGAACAATAAAAACGATACAGAATTTCAAAATAAGGTCATAGGTTGTTAACAATGGTTGTTGTATTACGTAATATTATCTTCAAAATGGTTGCACGGATAACCAGATATTGGCATGTATGATAGATGAAAGGAACAGTCAATGCTTCAAATTTTCTTTTTTCTTGACCAATTTTGCATGCTTGTACCTGGTAATCAGAGCGACTGATCTGAAATCAACAATATGCAGTATAAGAACCATTGTTGAATTCCTACCACCTTGTATGGTGAAGCTCTGCATCGCTTCCAATGCTTTTTGTATTACTTGTTACTCTCTTTGATTGTTTGATCAATCTTACATTCTTACATCTGGTGGACTGAGGAACATCGTTGAAGATAACAGTATGTGATGTAGCAACCATTGTAAATTCCTATCATTTTGTTTGGAGGTCACCTATCATTTCTGTTGTTTTTGTGTTGTTTTCATTTTGCATTCATTGTTGTTGGTTACTTTTTTAATTTTTAAAATATACCTGTTTTGAATTTGGCATCAGGAAAATCTAATTTTAGTATCATATAGTTGGGAGAATGCTTGATGTGGCCAGAATTGTTCAGAGACCACAGGGTTCATCATGTGTCCGCTGTAGGATCAATTTCAATTCAGCACAACATGGAAGGATCTCAAGTAAAATCTGTAACGGGAAAAAAGCCATCTCAGAGGAACTATGTACCATGTGATTCTCTCTATAAATCTTATGAAATGAAAACAAAAACATTCAAAGGCAAAGGGATAGTATGCTTATTGATTATCCTGTTAGCGGAGATGGAGGATTCCAAGGACACAAGGGATCTGGTGGTATGAGTGCTTGATTCACTGATCTGATTGTGGTGATGTTCCCAAAGAGATGAATATTTCAAAATTTCTTAAAGTTATGGCTAGTTTCACTGTAATTATGCCTAGTTTTTTATTTATCCAGTCTACAAAGTAAGAAAAAGTATATAAAAATAGTCTACAACGTTAAGCACTGGTGTGTGGTCCAGAAGGAGATGACAACTTGGGGGACTCTTGAAAATAGGAAGAGGATGGGTGACGGAGACACAGGATGGCCCATCAGAGGTCAAGTATGAGATGAGCAGAGTTGGACTGGTCCTCCCATCCCCTGAACTTCAGGACAAAGAGAGCACAGGATTCTCTTCAATTTTTTACAGTAAAGAAGGGCAGGACCACGTGTGTACATGGACAACATTTCCTAGTGAGTGACTGAGAGGGCAGAGGTGAGGCGAAACCACAGTCCAAGACTTTTCTTTGGATGTACTGGTAGCTGTAGTGGCAGCAAAATGAGAAACCACAGGCCAGGCCTGAGCCACAGGTCCTGGGCATTCACCCACCTGGCAGAGGAGGAAGAAGATTTTGACTTAGCTTCCCCATGGGGCTGGAGCACCGTGCGAGCACCGAGGCTACTGTCATAAGACCCACAGTAATAGTCAGCCTCGTCCTCAGATTGGAGCCCACTGATGGTCAGGGAGGCTGTGTTGCCAGATTTGGAGCCAGAGTATCGATCAGAGACCCCGGATGGTCGATCGCTATTGCCATAGATGATGAGTTTGGGAGCCACTCCTGAGAGCTGCTGGTACCACTGGACATAATAGCCCCCAATATTGCTGCTGCTTCCGGTGCAGGAGATGGTGACCGTCTCTCCTGGAGACCCAGACACTGAGGGCGGCTGAGTCAGCACAGCCTGGGCCCAGGACCCTGCAAGTGGGAGAGACACAGAGATGGTGATCCGCTTCTAAGTCCAACAGAGAAAGCAGGTCCCCTCATTTCCTAAGCCCTCTCCCTGCCTGCTGTCCAGTCACCTGTGCAGTGAGCCAGGAGGCTGAAGAGGAGAGGGCGCCAGGCCATGGTGGAGGTCATCCCCGAGTCCTGCCTTCCGACCCCACAGTAGAGCAGAGCTTCCCTCAAGCCTCTGTCTTGCCCTTTTCATAATCTGAGAGGGGAAGGCTCCACCCATGCAAATGAGGCTCCTGTCAGGTTTCTTATCTCACCTGGGTTGGGGCGCCCTCCTATGTCAGAAAGAGTTAATTGCATGGGTAACAGAGGGGCTGGATTGTCTTTGGGGATGGGAGAGTTACAGCTATGAGACTTGAGCAAAAGATGTGTGTATGCGGGTGCCTCTTCACAATTCTGATCACCCTTAGATCACTCAATAATGTGCTGCTAATGCCCCCTAGTGTGCAGGTTCTGACATACCATGCTGTGTGACATAGTGACTACAGCTTCTCAGGGACAGACTTGCCTCCTCATTTCCTCTGGGTCATCATCTCCAATCAGACCCTTCTGTGACCTCCCACTACCTCAGGAGTTTGGACATGAAGATGCTATAAGATATGCCTGGCTTCTGATCCTGGAATAGGTGGGTTACATTCTAACCATCTTGTCACAAAGAGGTGTTGTATTTGTGAATGGACTTTCTGTTGTAGAGCACCAAGCACAGTGACTTGTGATTTCACCAATAGCTGAGTCTGCTGTGGTTTTAGCACTGGCTGAGTCTAAAGTGTCTTGAAGTCAGAAGTAATGGAAGAGCCTGTGAGCTTCAGCTGCTTTTAATGGAACTAATAAATGGATAACACATCACAGGATTCTCAGTGCCATTACTTATTAGACTACTATCAAGTCCACATGAGATACAAATTCATTCTCACCAGAGTGGCCATAAGAAAAATGATGATAAAAACAAGTGCTGGTAACGATGTGTGGAGAAACAGGAACCTTTGTACATTGTCCATAGAAATATAAGTTGATGCAGCCATTTTAAAAGGTGCTAAGTTACAGTATTTCCTCTAATAAGCTTACTGTATGACCCAGAAATTCCTCTTGTAGTTACTTGCCCAAGAGAGATGAAAATACATCCACGGACAAACTTGAAACCTTCATATATGTCATGGTTTACACCTAGATGTCCCTCCAAAGCCTCGTGTGCTCATAGGTGCAGGTTTGGGGAGGTGCTAGATCATGTGGCGTGACTATCATCAGTACATTAGTCCCTGGATAAGGTTATAGCTGACTTGCTGTTAGGAGCTGGAATCTGGGTGGAAGAGGTGGATCAATGAGGGCCTGGGCTTGAAGGGTTTAGTCTTCCCAGCTCGCCCTTCACTGTCTCCCTCTCTGTCCTTCCCACTCGCCATGTCTTGAGCTGTTTCTCCTCTGCTGCTTAAATGCAGATCTCATCATGCTCATTTTGATTTTCTTCTATTCTTGGAAACAGCTATCACCAGCACCTTGAACATTACAGCTTTATTATTCCTTACAGCACATTTCCATTAATCCGCATGACGTCATACTAGATATCACCCTTGGAGACATGCTTCTGTCTTCCAAATCCTTCCCAACACAACAGCACTGCTGGAGAGGTAACTCCCTATATGTTTGCACAGTAACTGCTGTTGTAAAATTATCCTGAGAAATGGGGAAGGATGTTGGATTTATGTACCATTGTTGAAAAGATAGACATTTGAGGAAGGGGACAACTTCTGGGTAGTGGTGGAGGCTCCAGATAATACAAATACAGAAAATTGAAAGACTGTTAGGAGAAAAATGGGGAAGGGAACTGAATGTCAGCTATTGTATTTTAGCTATGACTGTTAATCAATTTCTTTAAGAAAATAAATCAGAGGTTATGAGTATACATAGCCTCTTGGTTCTATCATACAGTTCAAAATCAAATATATATACTCTATAATTCAATCAACAGTTTAGAGCAAAGGTTTATAATTGAGTTGCATATGCACATTTGTCAAATGAGTTATGCTATTAACTATTAAAATATTTCTATTGAGTGCTTTTGGAGGACCCAACTTAAAGCTAATCACTGAGTTAATAATTGCTTCAAACATCCAATATTGTTGATCAGGAATCCAGTGTACCTCTTCCGTGTGTACAGTGCACCACTGTGTTCATAGTAGTGATAAGAAAATGAGCAGAGGATGGATTTTTGTCTCATTACTTCAAGGCCTGCAACTCATTGCGCTCATAATGTTCTTTTTCTGGACTCAAATAGTAATAACAAGTATCATCTCCGTGCTGGAGCTAAGACATGTTCAGAGACTCAAACTGCCCAGCCTGAATCCAGAGAAGCATTTCAAGGACACGGAGGGCCAGTGGTCTCTGAGGATCACAAGCTTAGGTATAATACATGGTGCTGCCACACTAGAATTCTAATCCAGTTAGCAAGATTATTGCTATTTCTATCACAGATGATTGTGGCTGTCTGTCCCTGGTGGTTGATCAGTGACACCAACTGATTCAGCTCTACCTAGTCCACACACACACTGCGGGGTGGCAGACACAGAGCAGTTTCCTGCTCAGTAAACTGACATTCTAGATATTTGTTCTAAATATAATCATGCGATATGTGGCCTTTTTTAGTTGGCTCCTTCTGCTACTTTTAGAAATCCTAGGAAAGAACCCTTAGTGAGCTGGGGCATAATGTGAGGTATCAAGATCCTGTAGCATTTAAGTTAATTTTAGTAGTTTATTTACAAAAGAGAAGAAGAAATAGAAGAAAGAGGGGAAAAGAAAAAATCAATATAAGAAATAAAATATAAGAGGGAGGAGCTGAGGGATAGCTGAAGGTATGAAGAGAAAACAACAAAGCAAGAAAAGGATGAGACTGTAAAGAGGAGGAGAGAAATGAGATAAGGAGATTGTATCTAACTACTGAGATAACAGTTAAATAAGGTTAGATAACACCACAAAGCATCCCTTGAAGTGAGCATATGTGGCTTAACCACAGGGAATATTTTGCAAGCAACAAAAAATTTATGCACATAGCTATAAACGTATACACACATATACACAAAGGCCCACAACCCAAAAAGTAAAAAGAGGAAAATACACACAAACACAAAAATAAAAATAAGCAAAAAGTATACAAATATACAAAGGGTGCGATGCTCAGGGAGCCTCCGAATGTTGGCACACTTCCTCGCCTCCAGCTGACAGGTAATGACCTCATGTTGGTGAGGCAGTGACCTCGCCCCTGAGTACTGTCCTGAAGGCTTTGCTCTGCCCCTTTTACTCACAGGTCACTCTTGGTTTTGCAAGGTTTTAATCTGATCCAGGATTTTAGAGATTTCTGGGGGCCTGCGGGAAATAGGCACTGATGTGGGCTGTGTTCTGCACCCTCAGTGATCCCGCATCCCAGTTGCTCAGCTTCACATAGGATCTCCTTGCAGTGGTGTTTAGGGCTTGGCAGGAGGGAGCCTTGTGTGCGGCGCTCAGCAGCACTTGGAGGGCGGTGGGAGGAGGGCGTCTCACGTGAGTGGGAAACTCAGCAGCACTTGGGAGGTGGTGGTGGAGGGAGTGTGCGTGGTCTGGCCCTGCTTGTTTCCTCTCTCTTCCTCCTACCCCACCAGTCACAGTCACCAGAAACCCCTGCGATCCCTACTGTCTAATAGTGTCTTCAATGTCCAGTTCTGCCTCTGTAAGAAAGACCCGCCCTTTGGTCCTGTCTTCCCCAGTGCTCCCAGGTCCTAACGCAGTCACTGCCCTCTCGGGGAGGGCATGAAGCCATAGAATGGCTCATGCTTCACTCAGTTCCCCGACCCAAAGCGGTCCTCTGCCGTGAATATCTTGCTCACTGGCTCCACCTTCTGGTGGTAGTAGAATCAGTACAAGCGGGCACTGTACAGTGGCTGTCAGGCTTGGTGCCCAGCGACAGCCCAGAAGCTACTGCTGCGTTCAGCTTCTTTTCTCAGAGGGATTTGAACTTTCCCCAAGATGTTCCATCCATGGACCTGCGATGTGAGCAATGCCCCGTTCAAGCGGCCCTGCTCCTTTTTCTAAACACACAGTCACGGAATCTCACCTCATAGTCTTCTCTTTCAAGTTGTCCTCTTATGATTGGGTTTTGGTTCACCCCTTGTGTCCGAGTAACTACAAACCAAGGTGTTTTCTGAGCATTTGTTGTGCACAGCTGCCTCTAGATAGTTTTTATGGTCAATGACTCCTATGATGTTTAAAATCCAGCTCATATCACATTTAAATATATCTACTAGTTCATATCTTAAAACAGTCATCTTTTTATTTTAGCAAAACAATGTAATTTTATATGTATCCAATTTTGAGATAGAGATCTACAATATAATGAAAGAGAAAGAATGAGGAGGACAGGGGCTGGGGATTTAGCTCAGCGGCAAAGCGCTTGCCTGGCAAGCGCAAGGTTGTGAGTTCCGTTCCCGGTACTGGAGAAAAACCAAAAAAAAAAAAAAAAAGAATGAGGAGGACAAAGTAGGTATCTAAAATCATATATAACAGTTTCCATAAGCCACTTTAAAATGCTGAAATCAATGAAAATTCCATGATGAAAATAACCTTTGCAAGTATTATAGAGTCTTACATAATTACATTTCTCCATCCACTCAAGAGATCCATACCCTAACACTGCACATTCTCAGACATTCCCAAGTCACCATGGACAGAATAATTATGACCTCTGCAGAATGTAAGGGTAGTGATTAGGAGTCAATGCTGAGTGTGAAGTTTGAGAAAGTGGCTATTGAAGGTGAACCCAGCACACCATGAGCCTATCATGCTGCAATAGGAACAAAGAGTAGCTCCCTGGGCAGTTCTAGGAAGATGTCTTTTAATACAGTCAGAATCTATGGAAATTTGTGAAAGACCACATTGCTGAGGCCTGCTCCCCCTATATACTTCAAGTCCATTTACTGTCAAGAATTTCCATCCACATTATGTCACATACACAGTACTGAGTGTTCAGAAACTTTTCCTTAATTGAACATCTGCTGCATCATTCCTATCTTGTCAGTTCTACTCTTTGCAAACTTCACAGTCTCCACCCTCCAGATAATTTAAAAAGTCTGACTGTTTACCCTACTTTGATCCAGGCAAATTGTATGAGTTTATTACAGATACCACTTTGTAGTAG